TTTCAAATTGAACTCCAATTTAGTATAACTTATGTAATATTTATGAACTTCATGCAAATCGATGTCTAAATTTACATTTGGCTCCTATAATATACGTCCGGCGCCCGAGAATAAGTGTGAATTTAATTATTATGTTATATTTACTCACAATGTTCTAGTACCTATTATTAGTATATAATGTTATTAGTATATAATAGGTTTTATAATTATTATAAAAATGATATATATTTCATAATTTAGATTTAAAGCAAATGATGTGAAAAAGCATATTAAATATAAACTCAATGAAGAACTTCGTGATAAGGAATACAATGAGAAAGAGTTACCAATTCTTACAAATCATTTGACAAGCGTTTTGTTACAATTTCTCAAGGGTTTGTCCTTTTAATATCGCTATTGGTCTTGAAATATAATAATTGGTTTATTATTTTTATATTAAACAAATAGACTTAAATCTAGAAAAATACAAATTTATGGTGTCCGTGATTATCGCTGAGCAAAGGGGTCAGGGATTAAAGTGAGTTAAGATTGCATGCATTAATACTAGTATAATATTCATATTAAACACCTTATGGTTTACTACCGGTATATCATACAGAATGACGAGTGAATGCTATTGGGATAGCGATACTGATTATTATGTCACTGAAACCATTGTAACAGTAAGTCCATTGAAAACACTTTTCACAATTATTTCCTATGAAATTATGATTTTATTAATATTAAAACTTTTATTTCTGTTTTAGGACTCATTGATATGCAACGCCAGCGTTTATGCGATATATCATTATTGAAATCAATTTATTATATACTTATTCTTAATATTTTCATTTTTAAAAATAATTTGTAAATTAATTCCGTATACAATTTGACAGTATTTATTTTTTGTAATTATTACAAATAGAGATGTGACATTTTTAAATAAAATTTTTAATTTAATTTTTGAATTAATGTTAATTAAACTGTTAATTTAATTCAATTATTCATTTTGTGTTCACATTAATTAATACGAATAATAAATTGATAACTATTTTAAATATATTAATTCACTATAATTAGATAATTTCTAATTTTTAAAAATAAAATTACCTTTTATAAATTTATACTATCGATAACACTATTATAAAGACACAGTATTAAAATTAATTATTTAGATACCATTAAATAATACTTTTATTAAAGTAGATATAAATAAACTTATATTTATAAAGTTTGATAAAACAACAAAAATGTTGCAAATTGTTAGTTTAAATTGCGAAATAATCTATAATTTAAATAATGTCATCAGTCCCTTATAAACCTCATAAATAATCAAATTAATTCAAAACCTGAAAGTGATGTCACAACCAATTGAACCTTTTATATGCCCCGGGATATTGTGAACGTCTATTGATAATCTATAGTCTTATGCATTTTCATCAGATAATTAAAATACAAACATAACAAAGGACTAATAGTCACTAATTCATTCATAAATACACAAAATATCTATTTAATTGTATAAAATTGTAACAAAATATGAATTCGTACCAAACGGACAAAATAGATAACAATAGGCATTGAATTATAGNTCCTACTATAAACACACATACAATAGGTTAATATATTCATCAAATGTATGAATAAATGGTGTATTGTTTGTGTAATATGCAGACGGTTTGTCTTCGCCCCCTCGTGCAGAGGTGTCAGCGCCAAGAGGTCTCAAATGAGAAGTCACAACAACCACGGGTTAGTTGACCACTACTTTGCACTATAATCTATCACACGATCTATCCATCAAATGCCTCAATATATGATCTCTCTCTTCGTATTCTTGTATTACAGAGGAATGAGTGATGACTTATCGCAAGAGAGACATCCACTCGAAGCAGATTTTGGAGAATTGGCTCCAATTGAGTCCCAAAGACTTACTAAACGTTTCACAGATTTACTCAAAACTAGTTTATTGAGAAGAAGCCGATCTAAAGATTCGGTATATATTTAGCATTACATCAGAATATTCATTGATTTTAGTGTTATTTTTCATTGTAATTATAATTATTCTGTATTCAAATTCATTAGACCCGTTATAACTTATTATTGAATTCTTTGGATAATCTGTTGGCATCGGACGGTGTAGAGGACTAAAAGCACATAAACACTAATATTAAATTAATAATCAAATGTTTAAAGGCTTTTGTTAACAGAAAATCTGAAGGATTTGTAATAATAATAACAATTAATAATTAATATGATCTCAAATGGATTTTAAAATCGTTGCGAAGTCTCATTCAGACAACAATTGTATAAAAAAGTAAAAAACAAATTGACTTTTTTGATGTTTTGTTACGTTTTTGTTTTTATAAATATTATATTATATGTCAAAGTGGTTATGAATTATAAATTTATTATGTATTTTCAGTTCATTATATTACATATAAACACATTTTAGTATACATTCAGTTATAATGTGTACAAATGAAATGAAAAATTAAAAAGCAAATGTTTTTTGAAACACATTTTATTATACATTTATTATACATTTCTTAAACTTAGATTTTTTGGTTATTAAATTAAATTTACTTTGGTTATTTTATTTTATTATGCAATAAAAATGTTTCATTTGATAAATGTTGTGCAAGACAAGTGTATTTTCACCAAAACTTTTCAAACAAATATATCATAAACTTTTTATTTTATTGAATTTAATCCAACATTCCTTCAAATTTCATAGAAAATGCTAACAAATTACATGTCAAGCCATCAGTTTTGAAAATCAGAATTTAAAATAAATTATATCATTAAATATATCATACAATCATTGAGTGTTTTAATGTATTTTTGATCCAAAAATTTCGTTGTTATTGCAATCCTATGAATGTAATAATTGTTTGAACCAGTAAATCAATTAACGATTTCCTTTTTGTTACAATTAATGTATTTCTTCACAAATACAAATACAATAAATAAAATATTTGTCATATATATTTGACTATATTCATTTATTCTTTAATATCCGTAAATTTGTATTAAGGCAATACAATACAGGCAATAAAATGACAATATTTGCGCAAGATATACCAATTCATTCAATTTTTGTCATTAATTAGACCCAAAACACCCACATATGGTGTCACATAGACTTCACATATAGTGGTGAATGTGTGGCCAAAGGATTGCGGGGGTGTCTGAGCCGTACATTTCATCAACTTTTTTGTAATCTACTGTTCCTTTCCTTTCCATTCTGTATATCCATTTCAAATACTTTTTCATATTATAATGACATTTATTTATGTGAGCCGCAGATATTTAATATAAAAGTTTTTTATTTTGTTATAAATATGTTTTAAAATAGAAAATTTATAAAAGATATGAAAATTTTTAAGTAAAATTTAGTTTATGTCTTATTTATTCAAATAAAGTCTAAATTAAATCAAAGGCTGATGTCTAGCAGATAATCGCTTCTTTGGATCTCTTTATTATTATTATTATTATTATTTAATATAAGAATAGTTTTAAATTTCAATTTATTGACAATAATGTAAATATACACAAATCTTAGGCAAAGATTTCTTACCACATTAAACCTATAATATAACTCCCATGATACTGAATCTTATAATAAATGTAATATACTGTATGGAATATAAATAAATTTAATTTTTAAAATAAAATCTCAAAAATAAAAAGATAGTTTGTGGAAAGTTGTGTTTGAAACGGAACCTAAATTTCCTATTAGTTTAATATTATGCAAAATACAACACTTTTATTGAATCTATGACTATATTATAGACCATGACTTTAATATGAAACTTTACTGCCATAAACTATTGTAAATAAAAAGTAATTCAAAGGTAGCGCAAAGGTTTCATTTGGTGTTTACTGTGAAAATAGCTCTATATTTGGTGTCATTTGACTATTTATTGTCACACATACACAACCAATGTTAGATATATCTGACAAAATATCTCATTGAAAGGCTCGTTGACAGCAAAGTCTGAGATGTGATACCAGTGATGGTCAGTAATACTGTTAATGCTATCAACATCTTCTGTCATTTAAATTTTGTTGACACCAAAGCAAACATAAGTATTGGTTAAGACTGACCGCATTTATAAACCAGATAGTGTTCATCTTAAACTTAAAAATAAATTTACATTTGCATTTTATTTGAAAATTTAGAGATAATTTGATTTGATTTATGTATGATTGCAAACTGAATAAAATTGAAATTTTATGCCCTATTGTCATATCAAAGGATTAATGATATGTTGACATAATTCAAGATATTGTGACCTATTCTTAAATTTTATCTATGTTTTGGTCATTTCGTTATTTTTATGTAAGTATTGCCGCAAGAATTGTCATATATTATCAAGAATTGTCAAGTATTCTCATAAGACATGTGAATTCAAGTAAAGCTCTAATTTTATGGCAATACAAAACCACTCAATAATAGGTTTAATTTTTCTTAAAGCATACCAAAATTTAACAAACTATCTAATTATTTAAAATATGTTTAATTAACTTTGAAAATATAAGTAAATTACCTGAATTCTCATATAAATTAAATTAGAATAGGAAATAAATATTATATGTACAGAGTAGTAATCAATGTTTCTGCCTAATCCATAATCCTACCTTTTAATATTGTCATGCACATTTTACGGTAATACACTTGCTATTGAATAAGACTACACGATATTGATGAGATGAAAGGGAATAAGGATTATTTGGGATAGATCTACCTCACCAATTAATGCTTAGAATATAAAAGCACCATAAGATTTATATAATTAGATTTTTATGATCTATATAAACTCATAGAATAAAATAAATGAGGCGGGTTGAATAAGCATATTAGTTAAAATTTTTGCTAATACATAAATTTGATGGTTTAATTGAGAAAATGATAAAACTATTTGTCTGTTTCTTAAACAAGTTAGTCAAGTCTACCTTTAATTTATAAATTATAGAAAAATAAATAAATGTTACTTTATTTAAATACCGGGTACTTATCCCATTGAATGCAAAATATTTTGAATTTTCGTAATACATTATATTATTTATGACAATAAACTATATTTGAAATAACCCTTATAAATAATGGATATTGACATTAATATGTTTTTTAACATACAATTATTTATAGACCTATGAGTTTAAATAAAATTAAGACAAACATCAATAATTATTTACTAATGTTTATTAAATGGCATTCATGTAATGCTGCACACATGTAAACCAAATGAATGTCTTTGGATGTGATATATTCTGTCGTCAGT